CCTGCATGGTCCTTGCACCTGTCCAGGTGTTCCCACCCCCTTACCCTTGCCTGTGCAGTTCCTTCCTCCTAGGGAGCGTTCCCTTTTTCAGGTCTTTGTTGAAGACCTGCTGATCCTTATCATTATTATTATTTTGCGATTCTCTTCCTGCTTCTTTTTTTAAAAAGTCTTTATTGGATTTTTTCAAACTGTGAAAGTTATGCCTGCTAATAAAACTTTCAAACAGTGCTTACTGTTGTTTCGAGCTGAGCATGATGGTTATGATTAGTAGTAACATTTATGGAGGTCCTGAACTGGACCCATCTGTTATGCCCATTTTATAGATGGGGTACTTGAAGTTCTGAGAGAGCTAGGCAGCTTGTGGGGCTGGGTCTTCAGAACTGGGATTCTGAACTCACAGGGCCTGGGGCTGGAGGGCAGGCTCTGTCAGTAACCCCCCTACCTTCTTATCCTAGAGCATCTGGGTCTGAGTGCAGGAAAGGAGGGAGGATGTGTGAGAAAGTGTGGAGGGTGGGTGAGGCCGGCACTCATCCTCAGACTGCTCCAGCCCAGCCCCTCTCCGTAGCTCCCAACAGCAACTGCATCGCTACAACTAGCCAGGGCCTCCCAGTTCCCGGGCCAGGGACCCCTGCAGTCGCCCTGCCTCTGGAGAGGGGCCACAACCCACTTCTCCTCTGCCCGCTGCGAGGAGGGATGCCCTGTGGGGCCCTGTGGACAGTGGTCAGAGCCGGGACCAGGAGGGGGTCAGCAGGCTGTGGCTAGAACCCTGGCTGCCTCGGTCTGGCTCTGCGGCCTCAGGTGAGCCCCTCACCCTCTCTGGCTCACAGTCCCCTTTGGGCTGATGAGGCCCCGAATCCCTGGCATGTGGTGTCTCCCGAAGCCTTGGGAAGAGGCAGGAAGAGCTGGTACAGGTAGGTGTGGAGGAGAGAGGGGCGCCTGAGGCCTCGGGGACCACCCGTGGGCACCCGGGCAGGAACGCGTGGTGGGATTCGAGTCAATAAACCCCTCTGGCAGCTCCGGGGAGATCGCCGCTGCAGGGTGGCGAGGAGGGAGAGAGTGGGGTGCTGAGCAGGCCTTGCAGGGAGGGGGCTGCCTGGGCCGTGGCCCCCGAGCTCAGCAGGCAGGAGGTGCCTCTCCAGGGCTGCAGTGCCGCCTGCACCCTCCTGCGCAGCGTCCAGCCAGAGAGGCTGCTGGGGGACTCTGTTCGGGGCTCCTCCTCTGGGAGCCCTTTGTTCCTGGAGGGGACTGGACCCCCTCCCCTCCCTGCCTCTCCGAGGTCTTTCCAGCCCTGACACCTAGGCCCCCCTGCACAGTCCCCTGAGTCCTCATCCTCTGCCTTCCTGTGGCACCTCCTCTGTACCAGCACGTGGCAGTTCCTCCCAAGTTGCCTTAGGACATCTCTCAAGAATGTGCTCCTGGCTGCCAAGAAGCCATCCCGCGGCCCTCTTCCGTCACGGTCTTCCCTTTCCAGCGCTCTCTCTGCTGCCAAACCTGAGCTGAGCTACCCAGTTCCCTGGCGCTGCCGGGCCCCTCCTCCTGTAGCCCCTAACCTCTCACCCAGCGGGCGGGTAGCGGCGTCCGCAGCCCCTGGGGCGTGGCGTGGGGTGGGCACTCAGTAACCGCTTGCTGAGTGGGCAGCCCCCTTGCTCAGCCCCTGCCTGTGCCAGGCCCGCCCTCCTGGGCTTTGCACTCAGTCCTTAGAGACCAGCCTCCCTCCCTATCCCAATTCATTCAGCTCCCAGGTTGGAGAGCAGATTGGGGTACTGAGAGACCCCACACTGTCTGATCTGTTTGGTTCTGGAATCTCAGGTAGCAAAGAGTTTATCTGAAAGCAGGTCCAGGTCTATACGGTTCTCGAGTTTGGGTAGCAAGGCATGCCTGTGATGGCGGTAGGGTGAAATCAGGGCTGCTGCAGCCTGTTTGGGGGCACAGCGCCCATGGGGCTGTCTTCTCGTTTCCTGCTCCTTTGAGCGAAGCAACCCATATTTCTGTACCCTCTCCCCTCTCCACCCTGTGCCGGGTGACTTCCCCTCTCCCACTCCTCGTGCCCTCTGCTCCTGGACCCTGGTCCCACAGCATCACTTGGATACTCTTCTGCGTCCCGACGGGAGAGGCCAAGAATGAATTTCCTTCTCACCTCCTACTCTGCCCGTCAGCCTGGATGCATCAGGCCTGTCAGTCTCACCTCCGTTTTCTGTCTCCATCTGGGTCACCTCGTTCTCTTTTTCACTTCCTCGGTCTGCCCTGGCTTCCTCTTCAACCCACAGTCCCGCCCAACGTGGGCCTCGGTGTGCCCCTCGATGGGGCGATGCCTGGACCTTCTGGCTGGGCCCTTCCCTGCCAGGACGTGATGCCTGGGCTTAGCTGACCCAGCAGCTGAGAACATGCTGGGAGTCAGACAGACCTGGGTTTGAGTCCCGACACAGGATGGCAGCTTCCTCCTGGGCCTGGCTTCCCAAGCATCAGGGCATATTCTAGCCCTTCTGGAAATAATGCTGTGTCTGAGGCTGGGTGCATCAGGGCTGAGTCAGGCATCCTAGAGCTGTTGCTGAAGGACCCTTGAGATCCGAGGGCCAAGCCTACCCATGCTGCGTGCTGGGAGAGTGCCCGCTGGCTGTCCGGCAGTTTGAGGCAGAGCTGGGGCAAAACCCTGGGCTGGAGGCTGAGAACCTGGCTCTCCGATGCTGGGTCTGCAAGCCTCCTCATCCTTAACATGGGAAAACAATAGCACTGACTCCCTAGGGTTTTTGTGAAGATTCTTTGAGATCCTGCATGTGAAAGTTGCCCACCCACTGGCTTGGGTTAGCACTCAATAAAAGGGAGCGATTATGATGACGATTACATGTTTTATCAGTATTGTTGTTGTCTACGGTCCTGTTTTCTCTCTTTGGCTCCAGTGCATTACCTCGTCTTCCCCCACCCCTAGCCCGCCTCATCATTTTTCAAAACAATTCCCGTGGTGTTTGAGAGAGCTCTGGTTGTTTATAGTTTTTAAAAAATAGGCATTCAAAGCAAATTCCTCATATGTTCTCCCCTTCCTCCCCCCCAAACAGAATCTGAACAGACATGAGCTCATTCCAGGAAAGGGGAGCACAGGCCTGTGGAGAGGGACCCATGGGTTGAGCCGCCTCTGGAAGGAGTGGAGGGAGTGGGCCTGCCTGAGACCCTAGGTGTGGGATGTGGCACCTGCTCTCAGCCTTCCTCCCCAGCCACCACCTCCTGGCTGGGCCCCAGGACTGCATTCCAGTTATGCCACTCACTAGCTGTGTGACCTTGTGCCAGTGACTTAACCTCTCTGAGTCTCGGTGTCCTCTGTAACTGGGGATAACACCAGCCGTACCCCATAGAGCTATTGAGAGGATTAAATGAAATGCTGTCCTAGCTGGGTGCCCTCAGTATCCAGAGGCCAGCCATGGGAGGGACGGCATCACATCAGCCCCTTCTCTGAGAAAGGAACAGGTCTTTGGAACCTGGAATCCAAGACTGTCCAAGGTGGTAGGGCCTGTCCATTATTGAGTCTGGACCTCACGGTGTGCAGGGGGAAACTGAGGCCCAGAGAGGGGAGCCGCACAGTGGGTCAGCACGAACCCCAGGGCAGGACTCGAGCTGCAGCTACTCAGGACCGGGAAGCCTTGCCCAAGGAGAAGGCGCCCTCGGCATGGGTTACAGCCCTCTCTGGATCTCAGTTTCTTCATCAAGCCAGTGAAAGCAAAGGGGTTGTTAACTTGGTAGATGAGTTGATTTTAGAATGTTTATTTTTTTATTGTGAAAAGAATCATGCTCATAAAATAGTTCAAATGCTATACAAGTGAATAAAGCAGAAAATGAAATTTGCTCTCTGCTTCTCATTCCCACACCCAGCTGTGCCGCCCTTAACAGCCTGGAGTGCTGCCTTCCGGACCTCTTTCTGGAGGTCTCCAAGCATAAATAACTCATACGCACATGCAGGAATAATTTTAAGTGAGATGATATTCAGTGTGGGATTCCGTAGCACTGTTTTCTTTACATGGCCGAGTACGGACACCTTCCCTTTGTTGGTACCTGTACCCAGGTCCCCTTAATCTTCTGACCGTCCTGGGTGAACTGCTAGGTATTGAATCATTCCCCACGTGCACAATTGGCTTGTTTCTGGTGATTTCTGGCAACCTGCTGACCCTGCTGTCCTTGTGTGAGTTCTGTGGGCTGGATTCCTACAGGAGCAAGTACAGCATCAAAGGGCACCCATGCACCCTTGGAACTGTGCACGCAGCTGTGGTCCCCCTCCAAAAAGGCCGTCCCAACTTCCCACTCCCCCAGATCTGGTTAAGGTGCCTGTTCTCGTCCTGGCTGGTCCTGGCTGGTCTGACAGGGGAAAACAGAATCTTGGTTCCGCTTTGCGTTTGTTCGCTGGCTGGTGAGGCCGAGCGTCTTTTCACATGTCTGTTGGTTTCTCGTGTCTTTGGTGGTTTCTCTGTCAGGGTCGTTGCCCTTTTCCCCCGCCCAGAGGCTCACCCACGTGTGTGTGTGTGTGTGTGTGTGTGTGTGTG